ACCCCCCCAGGGATGAGGTATGCTAACTTTCGCGCTATCTGGTTATTCTTGCCTTTGAAGGATTCTAACTTGAGCTTCGGAGCCCTTACGCCGGGTTCTCCCCGGAGCTTCTCTTCTCCTCCCGTTTCAGGTCCCTGTTACTCATTTCAGAGGCAAGATCATCAACAGCTAAGACCGGCCAGATTGTGCATCATCAGACATTATATAGTTTACATTGCAACCCCTCAATGAAACACAAGACTCTAGCAATGGAAATAAATTCAGAAACTCGTGAACTGGTTTTTTTATTTCCATCTCGTCACATGATAGTGTGGGAAATGATGAGACTTCATCAAGAGATGTTTCCAATACAAGGTTAAGACAATGAGTTGAGCATTTTACGAGTTGTTGTTCGAGCTTGGCTCATGAAAAGCTCAGTTCGACTCAATTTCAACTAAGTTCGAGCCTATTAGAGTTTGGCTCATGAGTCAGCTTGAATATAATTATTATAATTTTTAATTTTTTAAATATAAAATAAAATAATTTTTATATAATTTTTATTTTTATAAAATATTTTTTCTCAAAATCGAACTCGATCTTATGAATTTTTTACTTGAATTGAACTCAAACTTAAGGTTTTGGCTCAAACCGAGCTCGAGCTCAAACTCGAATCTGATATTATTTGGCTCAGCTCGACTCGAATCTACCCCTAATCAGATTATGCTGTGGGGCACCCCTTGTGGGGTGCTGATGTAAACTTATATATAACATAGGGTTGGATTCAGTTTCGAATAGGGACCAAATCTGCTCCTCACACATGGCGTCTCACACCGACCTTATTTACGGGAGATGTTCCCAATGCATGGTGCCCGTAAGAAAATGCTAACCTACTTCATCCCATATCTTTCACTCTTTGGGTTGAACCTGAATTGTAAAAACACCAATCCAACACGCCAAAAATTTAGATTTGGTCACTTTTCGGCTGACCTACGCCAAGCTGCATACATAGACTAGTGTAGTGTAACCCATGCGGCATCACCTAGCAAAAAGAAAAAAACTTTTTTGCAAGCTTTTAGACCATTTCCTTTTTGTCTTGTAAAGCGCCAAAGGAAAACAGTCTTGTTATTCAATGCCATGACAAATGGAGTGAGGACACATCCTGCTTTGAGGCGCAGAATTTATTACGGTAGCAATTTCTGGCGCTTCACATTCTGAATAATCGGCTCCTTGACCTGTAAAAGTGACGGGAAAAAAATACAATAACACAGTAATTGATCCCTTGCAGCGGAAAAAGAAGTCACAAACATGAACCAGGGCGTTACCGTGCTTGTTTTTATACTTCGCTTGTCCTTGGCGACTCCACTACAGAAGGTAGCACCACCATCGTCAATGTGATTTGTTCCATTATGTTCGTTCCCTAGTACTACTGCGCTTTCACGTGAAGAAACTGGATGCTGAAAACATTCTCACTGATTAATTATGAAATGTTTGACCATGCTATTTTTACAAGCTATTCTTTCTATTCCTCTGAAAAGGAGAAAAGAAATGTATGAAATGAATAAAACCAATCTCACTTTGCTATTGCTAATGGGAGTGATCCCCTGCTCCCCTGTCTTGACTGTTGTACGATCACTCCTAACGGAATCATTTTGCTGTGCATCAGATCTGTCTCGTGTTCGTGTGAGATCCGATCCCACAGAGTGGAGGCCCCCGAATGTAGACGAGTCCCTTTGCAAAACCGCTGACCAATAGTGGAATGAACATTTATAAATGGTGTTTGTAGTTATCATATTCTTTCAAGTGAAAAACAGAGCTTGTCAAGGCGCAGGACCAGGGTTTAAGTGTTTAGTTTTTATATTACCGGTTCTCTTGATGTCTATGGTGTTGGGTTTGTCGACTGGTTCATTATCTCCCATTCCTTGGTCAGAATCAAGTGAACTCACTAGAGCTTTCTTTACTTCCACCAACTTCCTGTTAGTTGATTCAGAATGGATGACACGTTTCCCTGTAGAAAATGATTGTCGATTAAAATGCCCTCCTCAACCTAATCATATATAACAAGTTTTAAGAGGAGTATTTCTTAAGCAGCATTCACCTAATTTTCGGTTGCTTTGATTTTCCACAAAACCTTCCTTAGTCATTCTGTCGATAAGCTTCCGAACGGTGGTTTGGTTAGCTTCTCCTTCCAGGAGGTTCTGAAGCTTCCCTATCGTCACATATTCCATGGGAAGAGTGTGATACAGAGCCTGCAATGAAACGGTAATCGTTAAGATACATGACAATTGCTTAGTCCGCGACTCGCCTGGCCCTCCTTGCATCAAGTATTATCAGCTGGTAAGGGTGTCAATTGGACTGGATTTGGCCCAATCCGATCCCGTCCAATGGGAGTCCATTACAAATGGACCAGGTCCTAATGAATTTTTTGAACCATTTAGGACTGGTCCAATTTAATGTTTAGACTGTTTAAACTGTTCAATTTTATTTTAATTTAAATAATTCTAACACAAGCTTGGTCCATTGTCACCTATATTCTAATCTTCTATCAATGGATCGGATATTATCTCAATGAAACCATTCCAATATAAATTCATTACAAATGGATCAAGTCCAATCCAGTTCAATAAATATTTTGGACCATTAAATCTGGACTGGTCCAATTCAATGTCTTCCTTGTCTGTCTAATCCATCCAAATTGATTTTGTCCAATGCTCCATTGACACCCCTACTAGCTAGTGAGTGATAGTCCACTGTCCACCACTCAAAACTCAATTGTGACCTGTCAGGCCCAGCATTAGCTAGAGGTATGTACAGGGGCAAGGGAAGTCCGGCCCAACCCACCCTTGATGTGAACCCACGTTCTTTTATTGGATTGACCCTCTTACATTCAATGGATCTGACCTTCATGTATAAGTAATCACCCTCCCGTCCCTCCGAACCCTTGTTGGCTTTTCTTGCAACCGGGCTTTGTCTTGCATCTACTTCCATTTCATCTTTCACGGCACTGAGGTCAAGGTTGGGTTCCTGAGGCGAGGTTGCATTAGTGAAAACATAGGTCATTGAATTCATTACTAGAGTGGTTGAGATGAAAACCTTTAGTATGTTAATGGTGTAAGTGTCTCTTCCAGCAGGAGATAGCACCCCTTCTTTCACGAGTTTGTCCACGATCTCTGAAAACCAACACAGAAAAAATTGAGACAAGAGATATTAGATAGGGACCTACCAGCCGGAGTCCTCTTGTTTTAGCCTTCAGCAGGAATACAACTTCGTTCTAACCTTCCGTCAGAACCTGCAAATCATTGATACCAGTTACCGGAAAAGACTGAATATTTTCTCTTTCTTTTTATTTTCTATGAACAAACAAACGCTTCGTTTGCTTTGCCATATCAAAAACCAATAACCAGTGATCATCTATTAATTCGATATAAATGAACAGCTAATGTGCAATATGAATGTCATTTTTCCTATCAAAGATAACTCGGGTACGAGGATGAGAATTTTTATAAGCATATTGTAATTATAAAAGCATGAACTATCTTAGCACCATATACATTTTCATAGAGTTATTGGCAAAGTATACATATTTTCTCATCTTGTCAGTCTGATTCTTGGACACATCAGTCTGACTCCCCTTTCCCTCTCCACGCAACATTCCCAAACCACAGCAAATTGGCTCAAAAACGTGAGACTTAGGCTATGTTTGATTTGAAGAAAAAGGTAGGGAAAGACAGGGAAACCTATACAAGATTTGCAAGGTTTTCCAACCTTTCCCTATTTTTTCTTTCAAACTAGACAGTCTTAGATTGTGTTTGGTAGCATTTTTGTTTTTACCTGAAACGTTTTGGGTTGATTAATATAAATTGACATACATTTTAGGTTATTTATGGTCAAAATAAGCGAACCTGTTCTTGTCCGAAATTCGAGTTCAGGTATGCTACCAACAAAACGCTCTCATAAACAAAAGTGAGATGTTTTTCTATTTGCTACTGCACCCGTACATTGGGAACATCTTCCCATTAACAAAAACTAAAGGGAGATGTTCGCAATGTCTGCAGTAGCTTGTTGATACAGTGCTGGGAGCGTTTTATTGGTAGCAGATTCTTACCTTTTTGTTGCATGAGTGAGGTTTAATAATTCTAGTTAAAAGTAATGCTTACACACATGTCTCGCAAACTTAAATAGGTCCGACGATTGATTTTTTTTTTTCTTTTTTTTTTTACCTCCATTGAAGCCAAAGCTTGGCTTTCGGGCAGAGACCAGAGACAAGCAAAGGTCTATTGGGCCCAGCCCGGAGCTCACACATACGTGAAGGGCAAAAGCCAAAAGTCGACCTAATTATGACGTATTCATTTTCTTCCAATAAGCAGATTTACGCATGAAAGAAAATAATATAGGTTCCAGAAGAGAGGTACCACATGGTTTAAATCAAGTATAGAATTCTAGCCTAGAAATCATGTTGCAGACTTGCAGTATCTCACTAACATTAGAATGATTTCCTGGCTAAAGCATAGCAAGAATTTGGTGGGTGATTATCCTTGAAAGAGCAAACTAATTTAGTTGTTTAGAGATAATCATAGATCTTTTAGTTCTACAAGTACATCAATAGCAAATTATTAATAAAAATAAAACATAAACCTAACATGCAACAAAGCACAAAAAAAAAAAAAAAAATTGTGCATAAAAGAATGACTTTGATATTAACAGGGTTCAAAAAGCTTTGATGATGGTAATTTTTACCAATGAAATGTCAGGGAAGTTTGAGAGAATATCAGTAAGTTCAACTCTGTCAATGTGGCGTGAATTAATCCATTCCTTTACTCGGGTCAACTGTCGTTCTTCCTCCTGTTCATCCTCTGTAGCGTCTGCATAATTAAATACGTATGAGACAGGAGTACAACTAACCCGCTTCAACTATTTAACAGAAAACACCAAAAAGAAAAAAAAAACGATTTCACAGAAAACAGAACATGATTTTCCCACATGAAGGAAGTGTTTCATGTTTACATGCTGTTAGGAGTTCGGATTGGGAACATCTCCGTATTTGTATGTTTTAATTAATGGGAAGATGTTCCCAATGCACCGATGCTAGCTTGTGATGTGGGTGAGAGGACTAGAATCTTCAGATCCAGATGTGAGTTCTAAACTTACCATCATCAGTCGTGGCATCGTCCTCACGTTCTCCTCGCTCACCTGATAAAAAAAAAATACTGTTCGTGTCTACAGAAAGATAAAACGCAAAGAAACATAAACTACACAAGAAGATATTGACTACCTCTAGGTTCGACAACATATTGATTCTCGTGTGAACAGTTAACCTGGGATGCATTGAGTATTTCATGAAATGGTCTATCGAATTCAATTTCCCGTAAAAGAATCATGGCATGCTTCTTACCTCGCTATCAGAGGTAGATGAATCATCTCCTATAGAGTCTTCCAAGCTCATCCGCTCGTCATGTCTACCACCATTAATGTTCTCATCCTCACAAGGATCAAGGACACTTTTAACCTGCATAACAAATAATTCATCAAATCCAAACCTATGAAGAATCTGAACTAGTCATATATTCTATGGAAAAGGCATTCCTCCATTTCTAACCTTCAGAGCTAATACCAAATGCTTGCTGTTAACTTGACCAACCTCCATCTTCAAAGGAGTTTTTGTCCAGGTACTATTAGCCTCTTTTTCAGTACAACTTCTGAAGAAGGGTGGTTCATAATCTGCTGGCTGTGAGGTTCTTCACCATGTTATTTGACAAAAAAAAAATGATAAAACCTTTAATTCTCAAGTGTTTATGCTTACATACCGTCACGTCATCATAATAAAGAAGCTTCATTACAATGGTGCGCTGAAATGCATAATAGCAATTTCATTCACTTTTACATATTCATATGGTCTGAAATTCAATAAAAATCTCTAGGATTATAGATTTGTTTATGACCTCTTCCGGCATTTGATCTAGTGTCCTCATCAATTGAACTAGTGTTCGCACCATTTTACAAGCAGAACTCCTACAAATTTAAAATCAAGCGGAAAAAGATGAGTTCATTGAGGGAAAATGAGAAAAAGACAAAACTACATTTCTATACCGCATCTGATTGGGAGTAATATCAGTGTTGACGTTCGACTTGAAGGAAGCTCCTTGTTTTTTATCACCGACGCGATTGATATTCATTGTAACCTCGTCATTCGAATTCGAATAATTGAAACTAACTGCGAAGGCAAAATTTATGCCTCTTAATGTGCTGAGAATAACATAACATATTCAGGACGATTAAGATGAGAAACTTCTAAGACCAAGTTTTAAACGCCTTTTTTTTTTGGTAACTTCTAAGACCTTGTTATACTATATAATAAGATGTATTTTAATGCTTTAATTGCAACATTGTTAGAGTGCAGCTAAAACGACATACACGCATACTCCTCAATCATTGGACCTTCAATCGTTTCACATATACAGAACAGAAGTGTTTTCAGGTACTTTTTCTGCAACGCATCGTAAACACCTGTCAAAACAGAGAACAACCAAATGATACTGAGTTCCTTTCAATTAGTGGATTAAATTAAAACCTTCATGACATACGTGAATTCATATTGACTGAGTAAACACATCTACCTTTTTCCATCCAGTCAATTAGTCTACGTGACTCGTGGTCCATTGGCATTAGCTTCTTGATCTTCATTTCTGTAGAAATGTTGAGCGATTTTGAAAATTTTACGCAATAAATTAGTGTTTTTTTGAATGGAATTGAAGGAAATCCTGTAAGGGCAAGCTTACCTAGAGCAGGAACGGACTTATCATTGAAATAATTCTCCGGAAAAAGGCCTCTGATGTAGCTGATGTTGAATATTGCAATACGTAACAGGTTTCTCGTCTTTTCGTAGAGGAAGTGAAAGCGAAACCATCAGAAACATAAAATCTCTTACCAAAAAATAAAAATAAAATATCCAAAAAGGATTTTAGATCAATGCCTTGATCTATTGTATTACTGGATGTATCAATTCTCCCTCTATCGAGAAAGTTTCCTTTCCTTTAAGAAATTATCAAGTGAAAGCAAATTATAATCAATGGAGGGATACGAAGTATAGATCTATTGTATTACTGGATGCCTCAATTCTCCCTCTGTTTCTGTCAGAACTTACGTAATAGTGTAGCAAAACAACGACGATCCACCATTTTTTTATAAACAAGCATATAGTTAGGAGTTAAACGACCTTAAGATGCTAGAACCACTATAAGGTTCGGATACGTTGAAATTCGGAGACATTGAAGCTTTCTATATGTCCAGTTTCTCAGAGAATGATCGATTAATTGCACAGTTCTCAGAAGAATTGACAGAACATAGTTATGAAATCGATCTGAAACTTTTAAGTAAGTTACACGTGTCGGTCTGAATCTAAAAATCTTTTGCATACAATTGAACGGAAGTTCAAGATTATCGACACAATTTTGAAAACACTTTGCAGACGAGAGTGAACGTGAAGTATGATCGATAAAATTTTGGAAGGAGAAACAGAAACGTTATCTCTTAAATTCAAAACTAATCGAAGATAAGTAAAAGTTTTCAAAAAAAAAAAAAAAAGCTATAACAATATTTCGATCGTCAATTACCAGAAGCAAAGAATCCTGTTCTGTGATTTCTGATTCCTTCAATTTCTGAGCTACAACCTGAAAAAAAAAAAAAACAAACAAACAGACAAACAAACAAACAAACAAACAGACAAAGAGAATGAGAGAAAAATGAAGACCAAGGAATAAATCAGACATGAATAATTTTGAATTTCTGCTACTCACCATGTTCTTCCGCTTGATTTAGAGGATGAAGCTCCAACTCCAACTCAACCAACTTCGTCTTCTCCGAGTTCTCTCTTTGAAATCAAAACTTCGAGAAACTGGCGGGGGGGAAGGGATGAAGGGAGCTATTTATAACAGATATAGGCTATAGCCCTCAACGCCATAATGCGCTTTTACTTGAAATTACACATTTACCCTGTAATTTTTCAGCGATGTGAAGAGGTTTATGGTAGAGAACCACATCGATCTCGACCAAGAAAGTGAAGAGGTTTATGGTCAGAGGGTTGAACCGTGACCACGTAATAATATTAGACTCAGTTTTTTTTTTTTTTTGGTAAGCAATATTAGACTCAGTTTGGAAGGAGTACAACCTTATATTTTGTATACATTTTTATATATTTGTATTTATACTCTTTTCAAATTGAGCCTATGTACAATTATATAATAATAATAATAATAATAATAATAATAATACATTTAAAATGTATAATTATATTGCATTATAATATTTTAATTTTAATTTTTTATATTAAAAATTAAGGTTAGAGATAAAAAAACTTTTTTGACAAAAAAAATAGTAGGACAAAGAACCAGCCAATTATACAAAATTATGACTAGTTCACTGGTTGGACTGGCTAGTCAGCCGGTTTCTTATTAGTTTCAGCTTTGGAGTTATGGTCAAACCGATTAGGCCTGAGTCATGATTTAACCGGTTCAATCAGCTGGTCCGATCTACGTTTCTAAACATTGAAAAACGCATAATGGGCCCATTTGTCACTTGTTTAAAAATTTTAGCACTGATTCTATGGCTTAATCGGTTAAGTGAAACGCATAGTGCTATAGCTAAAACGTTGTAAGACAAGGACAGCACCGCATCATCGGGTGAAATTTTTGAGTAGGAAAGACATTATTTATGGCCAGCTTTCTTTTAGGCTGCATTTGGAAACGATGCAAATAAGTGTGAATGCAAATATTGAGTGTAAAACAGTTCATATAAATTGTAAAATTGTGTTAGTTTTGTACTGACAAATTTACCTTCTTACCAAACTGACTTTTAGCTGCAATGGATGCAAATATGAATTTCAATAAAGCATATATTTTTTTTTATCAAAACCCGATTTGAATGCAAATTTACTTCTTTTTTATTGATGTACTTTTACATCTTATTATCAATGTAAATATGCATTGATCTGTCATTTGTCAATGCATAAATGTAATGTTGCCATAGATAAGCAAAAGTGAACCAGAATGCAAATTTACCCTGAACCGGGATTTACACTCCATTTACATCGTTTCCAAACACAGCCTCAGCAAAAATGTAATTTCTTAGTTTACATTAGGCTCAATTTGGAAGGAATACAAATACAAATATGTAGAGTGCAAAGCCTTACATTTTGTATTATTTTGTATCTATTATACTGTACATACCTGTATTTATACTCCTTCCAAACTGGGCCTTAATCTCACTAGAAGATATATCAGACAAGATCAGCCGAGCAATTTCACCCGTCTAAAAGAAATGGCCAATTAAGAAAGGCCAGCTGGCCATTGGCCAAGTTTACAAATTTGTGAGCAACACCACTGAAAGTCCTCTTGACATGACAAACCAGGACCGAGTCAAAAAACACACGAGTGGAAAAGCCACCTGCAGTCCATAATACAAGTGTGAATGGACAAACTGAAGAGCAAGGTTTTAAAACCAGACCGGACATGGAACCGTTTTGGCCATCGGTTCTCAGGTCAAACAGTCCAATCATCCGGTTCGAGTGGATTGCCAGTTCTGATTTAAAAAAATAAATAGTTAAAATAAATAATCTATATCTATACTATTTAATGAGTTTGAGTGGGTTAGATTGGGTTAAAACAGGTTTGGGTTGAATTCAACCTATTTAATTTTATATAATTGGGTCATTAATGGATTGGGTTGAAACTCAACCCAAACCAAACCCAATCCAACCCGCCCAATTACCATCGCTAATGACAATCAGGGTTTCTACAACCTAGCCGGATTTCAACAAGCCAATCGGGTAACTAATTTGTGACGAATCATAAAATGACGAGTACAAGATTCAAATGTGTAACCTCTTTTGCGTAAAAATAATATACCAAAATTGCTCCACAATATTATTTATATTTGTTTTCGTCTCTTTAGGATAGGATGTGTTTGGTTTGAAAGAAAAGGACTTCTCCCTTTCTTTCCCTACCAAACCAAACACTGCCTCAATATCTATATAATTGATCAAATGCGTATACTTGGATGAATCCAGTCACTGATATTAAAACTCAAGAAAGGCCATCAAATCAAGACTCACACGCAGCACACAAGCACTACTTTTAAGTCCTACTACTGCATCATTGCATGGTAGGCTCGTTGTTAAGATAGGGCTGAGGTGTAAAACTAACACATGCAATAATGGATTGATGACTTATTCGCAACCTTGCATCGAAACTAAACCAAGAAGTAAGCCAGGAATGAGGTGTAAAACTAACACATCGCAATCTGCTGCCCTTTTCTGTTACAAAACATTCATATTGATCGCATGACCACATAAACCAAGTGGATGATGTTACATGGAATGATGGAACCATGACTTTTAATTACAAAATTACCCTTAACAATTCATATCAAACTTTTATATTTAAGGGCCCATTTGGTTAGTGAGAATAAGAGTCTAAAACCTTAATTAAAATGAGACATTCTGATTCCAACTGTTTAATTGGGCAAAATTGAATTATCGTTCTCATTCCTGATGGAATGACATCCCTCTATTCCAGCTGATTTCAATTCTAATCTAATTCTTGTCTGAACTAAACAGGCTATAGGAATAGACCATTCCAAATTTCCAATTTGATTTCCAACAGACTTGGATTCAGATTCCAATTTCAATTCAAACTGTGAACCAGATTGACCCTAATAAAGAATTATACCGACTCAAAAGAGTGCCTACCTGACTACTCATGTTTTAATAGGGGTAAGAATGACATTTCCATTATTATTATTTTTATTGATTTTGTTAAAATGAATTTAATAAATCCATGAGCATAAAGGGTGTTTCAGTAAAAGACCCAGATTAAAGAAATGCAAGCCAATCCGATCTAAACGAGTAACAAAACTACACAAGGGTGAAATTACGTAGTCTCCGGTAAGGGAAAGAGAATCAACAAAAAATAATTTCTATCAGAACCAACATGATAAAAATAAAGCATAAATAAAATCTCGTTGTAACTTTAAGCCTTACCTACAGAACATCCTCTCCAAACACTTTCCCAACAAAATCAAATGATTTATATGAGCATCTTAAACAATTTCTAGTTCCCTAAACATAAAGCAAAATAAATTACGTGCTTTTTTAGACTGTTGGACACAGAACAACAACCATTTGCACGCTACTGCTAACCTTGCCCTAGCACTTTCCACTTGTCTTCTCACGGTGCTACTTCTCTCTGTGTAATCAACATTACTCCTCTACGGCATGGTTTCATGGTTGCATTCTCAATCAAGCAAGATATTGATGCTTAGTGCATGGTGAGGCCAAATTACATCGAGGTGGTCATTCCTACACTCACCTTTCAAAGAGATCTCCTTTGTAATTCAGTGAAGGATAAACTGCTGCAGCTATTTTTTCCCGAAGATTGAACTTCTTAGCTATCGAAGGACGAACATCCTCAACTCCAACCAAACTCTCCAGGAAGGGCAATAACAAAAGCAACTCTTGATCTGAGCGATCATCAAACCAGCTCTCTATTGGGATACCATTATCCACTTGGAAGCCAAATGCCTGACAAAAGTACGAGATCTTAAGTTAACATTTGAAAAAAAAAAACAAATTATACATCAAATAATTTATTTCTGCTTAACAACTGCCTAAATTTTCCATGCTTGTATCCTACAATTCCCGGCTTATAAAGTTGTTCTCCTTGATCTTAGAACCATGCATAATTACATTGCAAATCCACATCTAAAGTGCATTACAAGAAACGGAAACACTACATGTGGGCCACTAGTCCTCAGTACACCATTCACTGAATCTACTTTCAACGCCTGAACTTAATTTCTTCAAATTTTAACCGTAAGGAGAAACTGAAGAGCCCTTCCAAGTATAGATTTTTTTTTGTATGGGTATCTACCAGTACAGATGGGTCCTTGCAGATAATTCTGCATTACCCGTGTAGGATGGATTTTTAGGGGTAAAATAAAACAAATTTCCATGCTGAACAAAACGAAAGACTGCATATAGCACTAATAATGCTTAGGAATCTTTAAGTGGAGAACACATGCAGCAAAGGCATAATACCTGTGGAGAGTTGTCAATTATGACAACACGTGCTAAATCACGGCCAAGAACTGATAGATCTTTGAGGTAGTTACCCTCTACAAAAACACAGGACTCACGATAAACACGGTGACGGAATATCCTCCTTTTAGGGTCCAATACATTAAGAAGCCGTTCAGCATATATGCTTTGGCTTGCAGTGAAGATGATGATCTCAAAGAGGTTGGCAACCCTCTCCATAAAATCCTTGAGATAGGGCCGACACCGGACATAGACTGTGTGCTCCTTGAGATTAAAATTTACTGGAAACGTAAAATCTGCATCATCACAATGTTCTAGAGTGGAGTGCACCAAAGTCTCTGACAAATCACAAAAATCAGTTTTTCCAATGAGTCACTGGATAACATACATCCAAATTGACTTAAGACATAAAAATACAGTCAGAATCCAGTACTTGATTAATGAGATTCAACATAAACCACAACCAGAACATGGGAAGCAACACCTATTATGCTTAAAAGACTATATTTTCTCTGTTTCTTTCTCCTCTTTCTTGGTCCTTCAATCAGAATGCAGTATATTGTTATTGGCAAAATGTAAGATTACCTTAGTTGCCATTTTATTACTCGTTCTGGCAAAACATAAATACTACATGCAAAAAGTTTTATCACCAAGGATCACTCCCCAGAGTCAACAGTCTTGTACCATGCTAATATGAAAATCAGGTTTGGAAGTGACACTCAGAATCTCTTAGCATGTTGAACACAAACAAAACTTTTTGAGGTTCAAGTGAAAAGAGAAATGGTAATTAAGATGCGAAGAATAAGCAACAAGAACCCAAGTCATAATTCTATCCAGCCTACCCAACAAAGCCTTGTCCCAAAAACAATATTCAGGCAATAGAGAGCTCAATCAATAAATTAAAATGTACAGAACTTAGAAACTTACCATCCAAGTCTAAAACAAGTGTAATGGGAGGGCACCTCCGTGTTTGTTTCGGTAGGAGCATAGGCCGAAAAGTTGGCACCACCGAAGACAACTCTGGTAAGTTCTTTATGAATAAGTATGGATCAAAATCATCAATTTCTTCAATATCATCTTCATCCACACATACTTCTGTTGACATGGAAACTTGAGTATGATCATCAACACATTCCAACTTAGAGTGTTGCATGGCAAGATAGATAGCTGAAACTTCAGAAGATAGGTTGGTTCCATCTAAATCACAATGAGAATCCACAACCATTGCATCAGATGGCATGTCAGAACCACAGTTTGGCTCATCTTTGTGGTCAGATAGTACACTTGAATCCACCTCCATCTCATCAACGGAACATATAGTGCCTGCAGACATTCTGAAATTCCAATTAAAATTATTCTGACCTTCTTTTCCAACCAAGTCAGAAGTCTCTAGAGTAACAAGATTCTTCAACATGTCCTCTTGTAGCTCCTTGACTATACAGTTCTCAGGGACTTTATGGTCTTCACTCCTAAAAAACTTAAAGAAGTTTACTGGAAACATTTAAAAAACAACACATATATAAATAACAATGAAAAAATGGTGAAAACAATTAAAGGCAACTTTTATTTGAAAAACATCTAGGAAGAAGTTTCATCAGAAAATTACATATTTCCCAATCAATCTCCAGGGAAATACATACCCAGAATCATTGCATTAGCACATATAGCTTCCACATTTGCTTCGCAATCATAGGAATAACATCTTAAGCTCAAAACGGTAACATTTATGGGTTATGTGGTTAAGACGCGTACAGAATTATCTACCTCCATTTGCAATGCCCCCTTCTAGGTCTTTAGAAATGTGAAAGGCTGGTGAAAATATTGTCTCCAAGACACATTCAGCATTACCCTTATTACAGTCCTGCAAGGTATTTAAGCCAAAAAGAAAACATTAAAAAAGAACACTCAAAGGAGTCCATATCTGCTAGTAACAAACAACACCAGGCACATCACAGTTTTATGCCACTTGTGCCCAACACATGGAATTTTCAAATAATAATAAGCACAAGTCCATTTTTCTCATGAATTAGAGATTAGAGGTATAATATCAATAACAAAAACAAAATAGTTTATTTGTCCAGGCATTTCAAGAGCACATAACCTAGGCAAGTCACCAAGTGAGTAATCTCTAGATGATCACTAAACCATTGTTTGGATGCATATGTGATGCCAATTGCCAAGTCAGTGACAGCTTAAGCATAGAACTCAAAGAAAAAATTGGAGGACCTTTTCAATGGGAGGAAACAAGTAATTGTGCCACATTAGAGTTGATAAAAATCTTATTGCCCTAAAAAGTTAGGCATCAGAGATGTGACCTGCTGACACTATGTCCAAAAAATCTGTAGACAATTCTGAATAAGCCCCTCTTTATGGTTGACATAAAAAAATCCTATTCTTGCCAAAAAGGTAGGCATTAAAGCTGAACCATTTAAGATGACAGATAACAGTTACGTCTTCTGTGTGTGTGTGTGCATATGTCTGCATATATAGAGGTTAATAGTTAGGAATCCAGATTCGAGACTCAAGGACCGACACACATGTTCCATCCATATCAAACCTATATCCCCTGTACAGATTGGAGTTTTGCCCAATTGAAAATAGTTGGACATACTTTTACTTATAGTATCAAAGTTATCCACGAAAGATGATCTAATTTGAACAAGTGCAAGGTCTTGGGGTCAAAACCTTTTCCATAAATGAAAAGTGGGGAGAGGAATAAAGAGACGCCTTATGAGATCCAGACTAAGTAACCACATGGAAGATCCCATTATGTAGGAATACTCCTTAGACCTATTTCCGCAACATGGAAAGATCCTCTGGATGACAAAGACCATCCATCAGATAGGGGCCCACTTCATATCATGTATTCAATTGTACAGTAGTCTAATATCTAACCTTGTATTGCAATTAATTTTTAATATAAAAATTGTCCATATAGGAGGGTCTATATTAAAACACGTTCAAGTCTTTGAAACTAATTTTTTTTCTGTGAACAAAGGGTGAGGAGAGGAAGATGGAGATTCCTTTTGAGCTCTGTCATGTTGAGTATTTCTAGCTTGTTTATCAAAGCTTACTAAATATTCAACTACCAAGCCCATTCAAATAAAACATCATGCTCTTTAAATTTTTGTTGCCTAGGGAACAACTTGCCTTGCCAGGCTAATCAATACACACAGAAGACACCTTGCAACCTTAACTAAACTAGATTTGCCTTTGAATTTACCCTCTTTTTGATGGGCCTTTGCATCTTTACCTTTTCTTTACTCCCTTTAAAAAGATATGATTCCAAAAATCCATACTCAAAAAGATGAAAATGAATGTGCATATGGAAAAAATAATAATTTTAAAACAAACATAATAAAGATGAACAAAAAATCCATAACCATTCACCTTCTGACCAATGCGAGCCTCCTCAACTGTATCATATACAAGTGATCTATCACGGGTCTCTCCATGTGCCAAGCTGTGATTTGTATTCAACTTTGTTGCTGCCACTGGATCTCTACTTTTCTTTGGCCCAGCTGAAGGTTGCACTGGGAAGAGAACATAAATAAGTGTTCCTTTAAATGCAATAAATAAGTATATGGATGCCCATGGATTAAAACAATTAGAAGAACATAACTTTTTTCCTAGACACAAAACAAAGATGAACACTCTAAATTCAGAAGACAACAAGAATTAGCTTTTGGTTGCTTCAAACTACTTCACAATTTATATACTTAAAAAAGAATATGCAGCTAATTGTAAAATAACCAATCTTTAAGGAAAATTAATAAAAGAAAACCTTTAACTGTAGGTCAAATGTAACATATCCACCTTAGCTTACATAGTTGGACATCGACAACAGAAAACATACAAAATATATGGGTCTACCATCTACAATCGCAGCATGGACAAGTCTAGAAGCAAAAAACAAAACAAATAAATAGTCTACAACCAAAATAAAGATAAAAAAAACATATACATATATCAACAAATCTGGCAAAATTGTGCAGCACGAATTGCCTTTCATTAATAAATACAAAATTGACCAAGTACTAAAACTCTGTAATGTCTTGGACAATTTTTATATTCAATGCCAAAATGATGGGGAGGCATGTTCCTTTTTACAAAACAAAAATATATTAATCTCTTGAGAAAAGTTATTGGCATCAAGTCAATTGCTATGCAAAACCAAAGGACCTAAAAGCAGAATTACCTAAACATAAGCATATGCAAATGAAACCACATAAAATTTAGAAGAGATGTAAACATTATTATAAGTAGCCTATCCAGGAAAACAGAGCTACAGTAATATGCAGTCTCAGCTTTAGAGTTGTGTCAGATCAGACAAGAACCAGAAAATAAAAATGTGATTGCTTACCTAATCTCTGCTTTCTAGCAGAAGATGTGATCAGCTCTGTAACATTCTTTTCTACAACCTGCATATTCTCAGATGCTTTCTTCTGTAGTCTACAAACTCTGGGACTAGCATGCTCTCGAGCAGAATTTCTTGTTAAAGGTTTCCTTCTGGTTTGCATTCTTACTTCATAAAGAAGGGTGAATCTTGAAAATTTATTGATAACGAATTTGCCCCAGGGGAAATGCAGAAAAATAGAAACTTTATCCAAACTCAAGGATCTCACTTTCAAAAGATTGGCACATGTAACAGTAATAATTAAAACAATGAATCTCAGCACCTAAAAACTGGATTGGGTTTTCTAACTTTTCCAACAGAAATCTAGAAAAACCACAGGGTTGCCAGTGCAGGCCCTGGAATCACCTTGTATATCTGAAAAGAAAATAGAAACGATACACAATCAGAAACCCCAATATGATTGAAAAAAAAAAAAAACACTCAATCAAACTCAAAAAATCTTGTAAATACTCTGCAAGAGCAAACAATCATGCACAGTTAATGGATAGCAAATACATGCAATAGAGAAACAACATACTATACAAAGAATTCAAAGCATGTAGTTGATTTCCTCTACAAAAGGGAAAAAAAGCATAGTCATCACCTGTGTGTTGATTTGACCCGGCTTTAATCATGGCATTAACATGAAAAATGAGAATGATTAAAGTAGCAAACTAATTTTGGAATTCTGGACAGTTGTAAATCATAACTCATAAGTAAAAGTAAAACACAAAACATAGAGAAAATAATTATTTGCAAACTTTCCTACCAGTCATTGAAAAAGAATTCTTTATGCAACAAAATACTATCATTTAGAAGGCATCATAATCATGTCTCCAATTGCATTGCCATGGCAATATGAGCCAGCCAAGTAACTAGTGGGCTTTTTTTTGTTGACAAGGCCTTGTGCATCCGCTCATGTACATCCTTTCCCTTTATTTTAATGAAATCAGTTATCTTTTCTCAAGAAAACAATATGTGACAGCCAATAGCTAAATCAGATATATTGCATCTGGAGGTCAGAAGGGAAAAACCTAAGAATATGATATGTGCAACCAATAATTCTTTCAGTTTACTATAAGGCAGAGCTTTAAAAGCGTGAGGCACAAAAAAAAGCACAAGGGCCATTTTGTGCCCGAGGCACAATGCGCAAGTAGAGGCATGCGCCTTTTTTAAGCAAGGTGCAAAGATGCAAAAAAAAGGCAAAAATCCAAAAAACTAAAAGAAAATGCAAAATATTGAAAATATTAAAGACAAGTTAATTAAAAATATAAACTTAATTTTAAAATAAATGTTCAAAAAACCTATTATCACAAATTAAAATACATAAACATAACATGTAAAACATATTTAAAAATAAAATCAAACATAACATATAAAACATATTTTATTTAATAACATATAAAACATATTCAAGCACATAAATTCTTGATCTCTTTATTTTTTCCCAATTGCATTACTTCAAATGGCTAATGTGATGTTAAACATTATGCATTCCTGATTCTATGAACCGCGTTTGCACCAAGCCCCATGAGGCAACCCGAACAAGTTCATATCAAGGTTTTAAATTCTTAGTCCCTATAAAAAAAGGTTTACTTTAAGTGTCTTCTAAAAATTTCTTTTATTAGAACGAATGAACGAGTAACATTAGTAAATAAGTTCTTAATCCCTATAAATATTTGTTTGGGCTTGCCTCGAGAGGCTTGGTTGGGGATCAGGGTCCAGGGGCGGAGCCCTCTGCCCAACTGCTAAGCACAAAAAAAAAAAAAAAAAAAAAACAGAAAACACGAGAAAACACGCACAAATTTTCAAAGCACATAACACCTGGGCTGCAGCACAAGGCGCATTGGGCAGACGCCTAGGTGCACCAAGAACGCACCTTTTGAAAGTGTTGCATCTAGGAACTAGGCAAGGCACATACCCTGAAACGTGCCTCACCTGTGCCTAGGCACACCTTTTAAATCACTACACTAAGGTGTTTTTTATGGTACTGCCACAAAATGTCACTGGAATCAACATATTTTCCAGAGGAAACCCACTGGAGTTATGTGAAGGAGTACACATGATATTATAACATGATGAGACATCAAGAGTATTACATATGTGTAGCAATTGTATTATTGCTCACCTAATGGAGATAATGAATTCTATGTGTAGCAATTCTATGTGAAATTAAACCTTAATTTTTGTTTGTATAATAAATTATTAGGTTAGTATATTAGAATCATTTGCACATTCTGAATAAATTTTGCTTGAGCCTATACTTTTATTAGTTTWAAYTCTTGGAGTTGACGGGATAACTTTGCAATGTACTATGCTGTCTATTAACCTTAGATTCTTTGTTTTGTTTGATGGTTTGGAACAACATAATAGTCTAAAAGGGTGAATTTATGCTTCTTTTGCCATTACATAAAATATCATGTATATTTCCACATATTTCACAATGTTTCCGCCATGTCTAAAATTTTTACAATAGTTCCATATGACATTTCTGGCATGTTCCTATATTTGGATTAGCTCCAAAATCTGTTCCATCCTTTCACTCTGTCAAGAGCACTATTTTAAAACTAGACCATGAATTAAACTATTTTCCCCTTCTCTCAGTCATCTGCATCAAATGGCTTGACCCTTGAATATTTTACAAATGATTTGAATAAATTTTTATAGGGGTGACCATGGGTCAGGTTTGGATCAAGCTTTACACCTATGATAAGGACTATAGTCTAGGCCCAGCCCGATTCTAGGCCTGAAACATAAGCGTGACCTGAGCCAAGCCTGATTCCTGGCCTACATCTTTTATATATAAAATTAGTACATATGTCATATATAATATTTTATATTAAATGGCATATAATATGCATATAAATTTATTTTATACATTATATAATATAAAACATTATATATGATATATTATAAGTGTCACATTATAAATATTTATATAAAATGCATATATTTAAATATATGCAGCCCAAGCCAGGCTTGAAGCATTAGGCCCAGGCCCAGCATTGAAATTTGTGGGCCTCATGTAGGCCCAGGCCTGAACACAAAACCTAGGCCCAAGCCCAGAATTTCCAGGCTGGGCGGGCTGAAACGATCACCTCTAGCCCTTGGTGTCTCCATTACACTAGAATGTACCCCAAATCCAGATACATGCAAAGGGAATAAGGGTTATTGAAGGGGGAGGAGGCTGGCATCACCTTGCTAGTAATGTCCCCATTGCCAGATAGTAAAGAGACAAGCAGCAACAGATTCCCCTCCCCCCTCTCCCTCCCTCAACTGCTTTTCCTCCCCACTTACCCCTCCCCCTTCTCTCAAACTATTAGATCATTCCACCTAAATCCCTTTTCTCAAATTCCCTGCAGCACTCCAACCTAACACCACATTAATTCAGACCACCTTGATCAGATAGGATTTGAATTTGAATTCCACGGGACATATACCATTTGCAGCCCAATAGAATTGCTATCCCACTAAAACCCTCTCTCAGTTTCCCCTACCCTTAAAGGGTTTTTACTTTTTAAGATTTTGATTTGCCATTAGATTTTGAGTTTTTCTAAGATCTTAAGGTTTAATAATAATAATAATAATAACAGCAACAATGCAATTGATTAAACCATAACCTGGTAAATAGTTTGATTGTTTCAACAGTCCAACCATCTGGGTTGACATTTTGTTGAAAAACGTGCCAAATTTTATGTTACACCATCAAATCTATGTTTACAGGAATAATTATAACTCATAGTAAATATTATTTGTTAGACTAAGTTGTTTAAATAACTTAAACCAATTATTATTTTTCCTATACCAATGCAGTTTATTGACAATGACAACAAGAACTGGGCAAAGTGCATTCTCAGATTTACAAATTTGTAACATATGAAGACACTTTAGTTTGAAAGGGGATTCAATGAGCAATCTCCCTTGGTACCGATATCCTACATTCAATAAAATGATTCTCACGCTATTGTAAATTTCTTATATTGAGAGTGGATGGGTAGTTGAAGTTATGTAGCCCAAAATGTAACCAATCCAACTTGCATGAATTGGAATTCACTTCATTAATTAGTTACTTAGCTCAAACTTCTCAAAATCACAAACTTAACAATCTAAAAACTGAAAGGTACAACCAAACCCTAGTCACTCAAATGACCACTTGCATCCGCAGCTCAAAAGATTTAAAAACAACAAATGAACTTTCAACCACGCAAAACTAATAAACGCAAATTTTAAGGGAAAAACCCTAATCACTTATCAGAACACTTAAATCACCAATTAAATCAGCATCGGTACCTAACACTCCATCCAACAAAAATCATCAAATACAGACAACACAAACAATCTAGAAGTCCAGTCAATCACATCCTAACACCAAAACAGGATGAACTCCGCAGGTGCTTACCTGAAATAAATTCGATCAAATGAAAAGACAGAACAGAGCAATTTACGGGAACCGCTGCCTCGATCGAAACAGGATCACAGCCACGAAGTTTGGAGGTAAGAAAGATCCAGAACCATCTGGACAAAACCCTAGGTTTTTTATTATTACTGAAAAATAGACGATGAGAGTGGAGATGGTGTTGTAGGTGGAAAGGTTTTCCCTCCAAAGAAGGGAAGGGAGAGGGAAAAATGAAAGCTTGCTTATTTTTTTTCTTTTGTCGGGAGAGTGACAGAATAATTAATATGTATAATTGTATATTTTCATTTTTTCAGAAAAAGGGAGTGATAAGAAAACTGCGCTATCAGAGCATTATTTGTGGTGTGCGGGTGTTCGGTACGTGGCTTGATTTTTCTTTTTTTCTTTTTCTTTTTTTTTCTTTTTGAGCGGGGTCTGCGTGGCGGTGGAATTTAAATAGAAAATGAAAGTGAAAACTGAAATTTGAGAAAGCCGTTCTTCAGTGCTTACAAACCGTGCTCACACCGTTCGCAGAGCCTCTTACAATCTTGTATTGAGAATATCTCCTCATAAAAAACATACAAGTATTAGAGATATTCCCAATTCACGGTATAAAAGATTGTACGAATGGTGTGAATACAGTTTCTGTGAGCGAGCATTGGAGCCGATCTCTCTATTTTAACGTTGATCTTTGTTATTGACGTTTCTACACGTAGACAAAAAGACAAAACGACCCACTAACCTAATAGTCTAATGCCCTGATTTGTTACGGAAAAAGCACAATTCATCAGGGAGATTTTTGTCAATAAAAGTGCACTTGCGCCACTTCACAGTTCCAGCTCCCCTCTGCCACGAATTCTTGTGTATGTGGGTCCAGAGTTCACAGATGTCATCTAATGGGAATGGATTTAGGATAATGATGTCATTTTTTAAAATCTAAAGGATGAAAATGGAGCCGAGAGACCGAGAGTGTGAGATGCCACTCGGCACTCGCCTACTTTTCCAACTTTTGTGAAAATAATTTGTTTGAAACTTGAAACCTCGTTGCAAGAATCTTCTTGAAATTTTGAATTTTTGAAATTAACGGGCGTGAGAGAGGGAAAACAAAGGGAGGAGAGAATCACGTGGTGCTTCCCCAATTGCATTTAAAATTTTCTGTGTATATACAGCCTATACGTATCAATTTATCAACATATCACAACGCTCCATATATTGGTATTTTAATTGCTGGAGCTCGCAGGCGGATCAGTACATGAGTTATTTAATGACTGATTTTTTTGTCTGTTGAGCGGGAGAATGACTGTTCAGCCTGGTGTTAGAATTCATATGCCGAAAGTGCAGTTGGATAGATGTTATGTTGCAATTTATGCTAATTCATGTCTAAGCATCGATGCATAGGGTGAGGGTAATTGACATTTTGAAATGTTATAATTCTGTAGTGAAAATCAGAATTCTATAAGCTCGCATTTTGTACAACTGTGGGTGCATCCATGAATGGTTGATCAATACGTTGACCAGGCCAACGTTAATGCACATTTGAGCGTTAACGTGGTCCGGTCTAATTCATGCAAAAACGAGATCATTCAAACTGGTCGAATACCCAATCAAAAAGCCCCTTGTTTTCCAATTTCTTCGATTCTTCTTTTAGTTCTTTATTCCATTTCTCTCCATCGAACCCTACTCATACAACAGAGTAACCCTTGTCCATTGGCGACAATAGAGCTCCGGCGGGGAATTGACAGCGACAAAGCTCCAGCAGTGGCAACTAATCCTTCTTATTCTTCTTCTTCGATGGTAGGTCCGATCTAAAGGGCGAACAAGTAGGACACGTCGGACAGAAACATCTCACATTCCACGTTCCACTGTTGTTTCTCGATTTTGAATGAAAAACAATGATTGATGAAACAGACATTAGGGCTTGGGGTGTTTAATCTGGAGAGAACTTTTCTATATTTACTGTCAAAATTCTTGCCACCGCCGATGGACCACGTTTTATGGACATCGATGTATTTGAGTGGCTGATGAGATGATTTTTTGGGTTAGGACTAGGACTAGGAGAACCAGAGAAGTGAAGGAAATGGGAGGGACTGAGGGAGTTCGAATGAAATCCCTTTATGGGTGATTCAACCGGAGGAGAGTCAACAACAGCCGGTTCAACCAGCGAAATTATTAATAACGAAAAAAAAAACTTCCATTAATTTGTGATTAACACATGTTCGCCTCTCATTCATGGGTGCACTCGTCCAATGCACCCACGGGTGCACAGAATGCGACCTCAAATTCAACAGTGGGCCTGTTCATACTTTTTCGTATTTTTAAGGCAAGAGGTCTCCCAATAGAAAGATGGAGACCAAATTCATTATCAAATCTGCTCGAAATTGCAATCTTTCAATAAAGTTTGAAATAAAAAAGAAAGGGTGAAGACCAAGTAAAAACATGCTTAAAGTTAAGAGCTTATTTGGCCAACGGTTGAATGAAATATTGAATGATTAAATTAAAGGGTGAATTCTTTTAACGGTTGAATAAAATGTTGGGCTGTTCCAGAGGCCCAATAATGTTGCTCAAGAGGCCATTCATACTATGTGTCTGCAAAAGGATAAAGAATCCTATTTCTTATTGAAATTGGATTTTTCAAAGGCCTAACAAAAATTTGGGATTAAAATATATGGGACTCATGATTTATTACTAGTGCAGAACCTTATCCTTAATTCCACAGCCAAAGTGTGCAACTAAACTTTGCTCCCGAATGACCGTTCCTCAGACTCAATTTGAAAAAAGTACAAATACAAATTTGTAGAATACAAAACCTTATATTTTATATGCATTTACACTATACATATTTGTATTTGTATTCTTCCAAACTAAGCATCATGCATAAATTGCATCTCCACTCCACATCTTGCTGTTCTCCACAGTGGCCCTCCTGAAAGTTATTTTACTCTAATTAGAGGATTAAGGCAAGATTGCCCGTTATCACCCTATTTATTTATTATTTGTACAGAGGTATTCTCACGATTATTATCATCTATATATGCTGGAGACTGGACAAGTTCATGGTATCAGGTTTGGACGTGCTGGTTTGAATCTTAATCACGTATGCTTTGCTGATGATATTTTATTATTTGTCAAATGTTCACATAGAGAAATCACTTGTCTAAAAACATCAACTTGATACCTTCTGCAAATGGGGTCAATGTACGAACTATCAAAAATATGCTTATAATTTTTAGTGCAAATACCGCGACTCCGGTTATCTCTTCCTTTCGGGGTGTGCGGCACAAGAGACGGGAGGACTCATACTTGGGTGTTCCACTTCTGTTGGGAGTTGGGACGACCTACAGCCAAGGATTGGTCGCTAGTCGCTACTGGTGGAACGAATGAAGAAGCGTCTGGATGGTTGGAAAATTTCTACTTTGACCGGCAGGTCGAAACAGTGTTAATAAGGAGCACTAGGAGGCTACTCCAACATATTATATGCAAACACTAATGCTTCCAAAAGACAATTGTAGCGAACATGATAATTTGTGTCGTGACTTTTGGTGGGGCAATTCTAGTGAGAAGAAACGGGTGTAATGCTTACATTGCTCAAATTAAAACATGAGGGTGGGTTTGGTTTGACCAAGGGTTTGTTAGTTTGTTCAAGTTTAACATCTGAAAGTGCAAGAATTAGTAAGAGGTATATTTGTATTGGTGAATTTTTCTTTTTTCTGAATTTTAAATATAGAGAATGTTGTTCTGAATTTTAAAAATTATCAAATATCTGTTTTGACTCAATATATAAAAGATTTTGTTTGTCTTTTTTAGGGTATCATTGAAAAACAAAAAGTTGTATGATTGCACTTTAAGAAATAAGAGATAAGAGGAAACGAACAACCATTTTTCTCTTAATGTTAAAAGACTCCTCTTAAAAACAAATAAAATCTCTCATATATGGAGTCAAAATGGATATTTGAAAATTTTCAGAATTCAGAATAATATTCTCTGCATTCAGAGGAAAGAGGAAAGAAAAGTTCACCAATACCAATATATATCTTAATGTAATTATTGTACATTCAGATGTCAAACTTCAGGGCAAACGAACAAGCCCTAAGACTGAACATAGAAATATAACTATGTTGTCTAAAGTCAATTGGTGTTTCTTAAAGTACAGAAATATACTTTGGGTGTGAATCTTTGATGCTAAATATTTACATAGTGCAAATTTCTGGGCTACTAAAACTAAATATGGTGTTTCCACCACATGGGAGGGGCGACTGCAAGAAATTAGGGTCAATTTGGTTTGCAGTTGGAATCAGAATCGAAATCCTTCAAAATTGGAATTGGAATTTAAATGGTCTATTCCTATAGTTTATTTGGTTCAAGCAAGAATAGAAATGAAAATTGGAATTAAGAGAAATGAGATTTCATTCCCAAAAAAAGGGTAGGGAATGGCCATTCACTCAAATGGGAGAATGTCATTACAGCATAAATGAAAATTGGATTTCAATTCTGTACAACCAAACAATTATAATTAAAATAACTCATTCCAAACCCCTATTCCTACAAACCAAATGAGGCCTTAAAGATGTACTTAAATCTGGCCGGTGCGCTTTTGGCTTATTGGGAATGATTTGGAAAATTGATTTTTCTTTAATGATCCTTGCTGTGGAGTAGATAATCGGCTTTATGAGAAGTTGGACGAGGATCCTCCTCATATGCGTGCGTGTGGCGCATTTTCTTCACCCATCTACTTCTGACTGGAATATTGCACTTCTTACACATTATATTATCTTCTCAAGACATATCACGTGTATTTGTGTATTGTACTGCCACGTCCCGAAACTACCATGGAAGATACTTTGATTTGGTGCAAAACGACACATAGCAGGTTTAACTTGCTCCTCAGTCCAAATAAGAGATAAGAACACGATTGCCAAATACAATCTACATCCACTTTAATACTGGAAAATATGACCTGGAAACATTTATGGGATGTAAAAGTACTCACCCATTCACTGAATCTGTTTCTATGGAAATGTGTTCATAATATTCTTCCCACTAAGGATTGTTTAGTGAAGCGCAAGATGCCTGTATGAAACAATTTTGCATACATTGTTCTATTGTACTGGTGCTAAGGATGTATGGCTTGGATCTTGTTTGAATCTAAGAATCCAATTTCAAGACATCCGAGAATTTATTCACTTTTTGTAGAAGCTGGGAGTCTAGAAAATGGCTTTCTTTTCAGAGGTGCGAACCACCTTGTGGTTTCTTGAAGATAAATGTAGATGCAGCCAAGAGGCCCAA